CTACTGGAGAACAGACTTGAGGATATGGGGAGGGGGAAGGGTGAGCTGTGACAGGGCGAGAGAGAGGCATGGACATATATACACTAACAAACGTAGGGTAGATAGCTAGTGGGAAGCAGCCACATGGCACAGGGATATCGGCTCTGTGCTTTGTGACCGCCTGGAGGGGTGGGATAGGGAGTGGGGGAGGGAGGGAGACGCAAGAGGGAAGAGATATGGGAACATATGTATATGTATAACTGATTCACTTTGTTATAAAGCAGAAACTAACACACCATTGTAAAGCAATTATACGCCAATAAAGATGTTAAAACCAAAAAAAAAAAAAAAAGAAAAGAGGCACAAAGAGGTTACGGAATTTACCCACGATTACACAACTAGTAAATGGTAGCGCTGGGATTGAAAGACCAGGTGTCTGGTTCCAGAATCTCATGCTCTTTCCTACTACATTATTGCCTTTCTAGATGGTGTGAGATAAACATGCTCCAGAACTATGTTGAAACTCATGAACTATCAGGAACTTATCCTCTGATATAAAATTTCTCTTTATCAATCCACCATCTGGAGAGAGAATAGTCTATAGGTAATCTTTTTGTTTTCATTCTGTAGGAGCAATAATCATGCGTCACTTCACTCTTCTTTTGTAAATTATTTGCTTATTTTTCCCATTTTAAAGGCTTCCCTGACGTCTGTAATTAGAATTTCCCATGCCTTTTGAAGCCTACTTTTCTTAACCTTAAAAATATGTTTAGGAATTGTACGTGCTCCCTGTGGAAGACAAAGAACATAAAAAATTAAAATATGAACTGCTAGCCCTTAATGCACTTATTAGTAAACTTCCACTGCCCAATGAAGAGCCACAAAACTTAGCGTCCTAACACAACAACTGTCTGTTCTCACAGATCTACAGGTTGGCTGAGGGGCTCTACTTCACGCTGTAGCTTAGGACCAGAGGGCTGGCTGGGACCTTTTCTAATGGTGATGACGGTTTTAAAAAGTGAGGTGGGTCTTATAAGTGCTGTCACAGAAAGATCTTGCATTCACTTCCGTTAAGTTACAAGAGCAAGTCACAGGACAATATGTACACTGTGGCCCCCGTGTGTTAAAAATTCAACATATTTTTGTAGCCCATCTATGTACAAAGAAGCCTCAAATCAGCTTTAGAATGACACACACCAGACAGTTAATTGTGGTTACTTTTGAAAAGGAGGCTGAATTTTCGAGCAATGTTGTAAGGGGGAAGATTGTGATTTATGTGTGTAAGAAGTTTTTATGAGAAGAATATATATGCTATGATGAGCTCTGTCATTAAAATATTTAAATGAGCCTAAGAGTAGAAATAGTAGTCGTGTATCACTCGGATTAAGTCACTGCTAGCTGATGCAACGGAGAAAACCCGGTATCTGAATGACTTAACACAACAGAAGTTTGTTTCTTGTGCACATAAAATCTGATGAAGGTTGGCAGAGGTTCACTGCTCACAGATGACTCCGAGATCCCGGCTATGTACGTCACGTGGCTCCACACCTCAACACGGGCTCTCTATGTTTGCTGCTGAATGGAAGAGAAAGCACAGAGGTGCCATACTGACTCCCTCGTGCCTTGGTCTGGAGGTGACCCTTCCTAATTACAAGTGGACTGGGAATAGAGTCTCCCCAGTAACCCAAGGAGAGCAAGACAGGATGTGGATGAGGTTTGCAGTCTCCCATAAACTGGTGTATAGTATGTGCTCAATAAAGAGCAACTATTGCAACTGGTTATGACAACAACCCTCTTAGTTAGTTGGAGGAGTTTCTGAGAAGGCCAAATTTACCTTGAAATTCACCAATTTTTTCTTGTGCATACTATGTAAGACATGTTTTCAAACACAGGATTCCATCTAATTTCCAAAAGTACCCTGTACATCTCAGCAGAGAGGGCTTTCACCAGTACTTTTCTGCATTGCCAATTGCAATAACCTGTGTAATCTCAGTAGGCTGGGAATTTTCTCCTAACTTTTGGTTGCATGGTCAAAACCATAGCCACCCACCACCTGACTGAACATTCCCGAACACCCGAAGAGGTGCCGTTACGCATACTGAACAAACAGCATCTCCCCTGGGACAGATACAGACAAGAATTACTGGGAGGATGGTGAATTATTTTTCCTTGTTATTCAAAGCTAGCATGTCTGCCACAGAACCATTTTCCACCTCCAAGAAGGACTCCAAGATGGGTTTTTAGGAATTCAGCCTCAGTAGATGCTTGTTTACACAGTGATTTCCTTGGTCCCTCCTCCTTTACCACTCAGGAAGAAGGCTTTGGTTTGGGACCCCTTAATTCAGTTCACTCATCAGTGTATGGATTCAGTGGCCAGATTCAAAGAAGACACTTCATTAAAATCCTACTGCAAATATCACGTTGTCTCAAACAAGGCCTCCCTAGCCTTGGGGTTATAAGCCAAGGCCCTGTAGAGTCCATACCAAATCAGAGTCTCGTCACCAGCAGGTTTGCAAACACTGAGAATGAGGTGGAGGCACCCAGTGGGGATGAGGAGGTGTGTAAACGTCACTGTCTGAAGTGAACAGATACATGGAAAGGGCAGCTACTGTCCCAGGGGTCCACGGTGACGAACAGGATCTGTGGGGAGTCGGGATGCTCCGAGTCAGGGGAGGGCAGGGCATATGGGCTGTCTGTTCCTCTGGGAGCTGAGTGCAGCCTCCAGAGGAAGAGGCAGAGAAGAGCTGGCCAGCAGGTCAGCTTCCAGTCTGGACACGAGGGCACACTGGGCAAGACCCAGGGGCAGGGCGCTGTGATGCCGGAAAGTGCTGGGGCTGGAGCCCCGTGCCGGGACCGGGGCAATCAGCTCTCAGGGAAGCCTGGGGCGAGGGGCAGGAGGATCCTAGGTAAACGAAGCCCACAGACAATCCCCAAATGGTGCCTGATTCTCATGTTCACCTTCCTTCTTTAGGCCTGCTTTTCATATTTTGGCTACAAGTTCCTCTTTCTTATTGCCTGAGAGACGTCATGGAGCAGTGAGAGGAGAAATGAATTAAGAGACAGAAGGGCTGCCTCAGGCTGGGAGGAGTGGAACAGTATGGGCTCTGGAGGAATCTGGACCAGGCTGTACTCCCAGTTCTGTCACTTTACCAGTCCGGAGAATACTGCAAGTTCTTTGTCTGCCAAGTGGGTTTGATAAGCCTCATCTTACAGAACTGTCGGAACATATGTGATACATGTAAAGCACCTGGCACAGTGGCTGGCGACGTTTGGGTCTTTCACGCATGGCAGTTATCATGATGCTTGTTTTCATACCAGAAGAGACTGGTCTTCTCTGTCCTAGAGATACCCTCATCTCCAGGAATTTTTCATTTTATCCAGGAGATGTCAAGAGACCATACGGGTCCTCTAGGACAAAGAAAGCTGAATTAAACAAAGTGCTCCTTAGCAAGTAACCCTGAGTACATTTTCCCTATCAGAGAATATGCTGTTTCATTTGTGGAGGCAGGGGTTTCACCAGGATGCAAATCAAACCTTATAGAATTTGTGTCAAGGACCAATAATTCCCCTGCCTCCCAAAACCTCCCCGATTTTCACGTGTTTCATCACCACCAAAATCTGGGCCCATTTAGGAGTTCTGCCAGATTACACTCAAGACAAACAAATCTCATAAATTAACGCATATATGTGGAATCTAGATAAGTGGTACAGTTGAACCTCTTTGCAGGGCAGGAACAGAGACGCAGACATAGAGAACGGACGTGTGGACACGGGGGAATGGGGGGTGGGATGAACTGGGAGATTAGGATTGACCTATGTACACTACCATGTGTCAGACAGACAGCTAGTGGGAACCTGCTGTACAGCACAGGGAGCTCAGCTTGGTGCTCTGCGACCACCTAGGTGGGTGGGGGGAAGTCCAGCAGGGAGGGGATATATGTATACGTGTAGCTGATTCACTTCGTTGCACAGCAGAAACTTAACACAACATTGTAAAGCAATTATACTCCAATTTTAAAAACCCGATAACTAATTAACGGAGCGGGCTGGGCCTCCTCCAGCCCAGGGCACAGAGTGCCAGCACAGGGGCTTCTCAGCATCCCACCACAAAGGAAGACAATATGCATAAAACACCTGGTTTGTTTGTGCACTGTGTTCACCTGCACCGGGGCAAAAACACTGAACCCCTGCTCACCATTATCACAGCCTCATCTAGCCCACCATGCAGCCAACTTAAAATTACCTCCCAAGGAGGGATTTGCAAAATAACCAAACCTCAAAGTGTTCTGGCGAAGAGAATTTATACTTCACTGCTCTCATCTGGACTCTCTCCCCACCATCCTCACTGGGCTTTTTCATCACACCACCTTCCTTATATAATAGCTGCTCTTATACTCTAAACATCTACAGGCAGGTGCAGGGCCTTTTTCATCTTAGCATCATCACTACCAGCACAGAACCTTCCAAAGAGCAGATGCTCAATTACAGATGGGAGTCAATGAGGCACTGAGTGAGGAATGTAATTTATTACCATTTAATTTTGTCGGCATTCTTGAATAAGCTAAGGACATCTAGGTGTATATCTTCGAATTTTACAAAGAGAAAGACAAAGGTGAATAAGACAGACCAAAATTTGACTAAACTTTACTTTGCTTTCATCCATTTTAAAACCACAGCATTCTTTCACATTTCCAAGAAAATTCCTATTCCAAAGCCATATTATCTCAGTCCAGAACCCCAGAGAGATGCAAGGAGTTTTCACATTGTACTACACAGTACCTAAACTCTTATGCTTAAACCTGATAAACAACAACAAATATGTGATCCATGTCATTTATAAACTTGGATTCTGAATCTAAAGAAACTTTCTAGTAAAAGAAACAACATTTGAAAGATACTAGTGTAAAACAGGAACACAAAGAAGGTATATATTATGATCTTTCCAGCCCCAGCTTAGCCTCTCACTACTTAAAAGGTTGGCAGCGTTGGTCAAACACAAAGCGAAGGAGCTGCCTCAGACCTCACTGAGGGCGGGAGGAACTGCTAGATGTGACGTTGGAACGCACACTGGCCTTGATACGAGTTAGAGCCCTGGCTGCAGCTCTGGCTTGGGCTCGGGCTCTCTGTTCGTCATCTCTCAAAGCCTCTTCATAATGGACTGGAAAGGCACTGGGGACGGTACCAGTCACCTTGGCCACAAACTCCAGGACTTTCATCTTGCTCGTTTCAGCGTGGGCTCTCCGGCCCCACAGGAACTCATAGCGCGGGGGATCGCTGTCGCGCACCTGACGATACACCAGGTACTTTTCCTGCACCAGATCTTCTGTGATAAGCTTCCTGGGCTCCCCAAAGATTGAATGCTTATTTCCATCACAGATGCCTAAAATATTCAGGAATTCCCAGACCTCCTCCTCAGAGGCGCGGTCGCCATTCAAGAAGATCACACCGAGGAGAAGCATCAGGAGCCCATTCTTCCGAAACCGCCCGCCACTGCTCCGACGCCCCTTGCTGACAAGGGTATAGGAGTCACCACCCGGCTTGACCTCCTTCAATGCAAGGCCAAAGACCAGCTGAACGCACTCAGCAGCTCTCCTGAGGATCTCAGGGAACTTCCCCCGGTACCTTTTGTTCACAAGCTTCAGCAAGTCTGCCTTTATAATGGGCTCTTTCATTGTATACTTCTCCAGCAGGAAATCCATCACCATTCCCACCTTCTTGATCAGAGGATCTCTCTGAGAGCTCTCACCGGAGGTTGAGGCCCGGGAGGAACTTTTCCTTGCCTTAACCCGGCCCTTGGCTCGTACATCAGATCCTGGGCCTGAAACCCCTGCAGCACGAGAGCTCGTGGCCGGGGCTCCCTGAGGCTCCTGGCGAGCGCCAGCAGCAGGGGAGCTCGGGGGAGTACCCCGAGAAACAGAAGAGGGGGACGAGGGCGACTCTTCTATCTGTGCTGCAGTGGCCTGAGCACCCCCGAGATTCTGGGTCTCCCTCCGGGCCTGGCGGCGCTTCTCACGGGCACGGAGCTTACTCTTCTGGCCCCGAGGCATGACTATGGGCAGGGACAGCAGGCGGGGGAGTGGGCAGGAGAGCAGGTGATGCTGGAACCTGGAGGAGGGAAGGTGAGAGGGTGTGAGCACCTTCAGCAGGGAGGTCCCACCCTGACTTGAAGAAGGCCGCTCTGCACGTTTCCTTGAGGGCACTGCTCTAGGAACCACTAGGCCCTTGTTCTTGCTCAGCCTGTCCCCTGAGAACCCAGTGCCAGAAGCCAGAGTGAGAGAGCCTCAGGCTACAGCCTGCCAGCCCTGCCCGTGGCTGACGGCGGTGACCACAGATCCTGGTAGGGTAGGCCCTCTCTGGGTTCCAAGGGTCCCTTTCGTTCACAAACAGGATTGTCACGTCGACTCTCGGTAGGGCCGGGACCTCTTTCCTGTGCTGCTCTGAAGGTGACACCTCAAAGCTCCCTGGGGCCCACGAGAAGGAACTGAGTCATGGACACTGTCGGGGTGCACAGCGCTGACAGTTCTGTGGGGCCTGCTCTGTCCTGAACTCGTTGGGCCTCAACCATTCAGCGTCCTCGTCTTGTCGACACCAAGGGTCTGGGACCCCCCCTGCTGCCCCTGGTGTGGCACCTTCAGACAAAGGATCTCATCTCCCTTAGAAATGATACAAAGAAATGAGGAGCCTCCGCCTGACAACCACGCTCTGGGCCTTCAAGGGCTGAGCAGAGGCCTGGGCAGGACTCTTTATTAAGCCTTTGATTCGGTGGAAGCGGGGTGTGCTACCTTCAGTCGTCATTCACAGTCCCCACTGGGTCTCCTGGGAGGATCTGGGGGCTCCTTTGTCTCTTGACTTGAGGACATTTCCTCACAGTAAGGCCCACAGCTCCCTGAGACCGGACAGTGGAAGTGACGATGGCCTTACCTGGCCACAGCGCCCCTAGTCTCCAGAGGCTGAAAGCTGCAGCAGGCAGGCTGAGGCCCTGTAACGTGTGGTCCTCCCTCACGGTCCCCATTTCTAACTCAGGGGAGGGTCTACGGTTCCTCCCTCTGCTGACCCATCACACCAAGATGCTGACTTCCCTGTGAGTTCCGAGTGGGGAACTGATGGGCACTTCTGCCTCACATCTGTGCCCGGGGCGCCTAGGAACGACAACGGAGAGGGACTCTGCGCGGTCCCCGCTGGCACGGGGTGGACTTCCCCCCACAGTCCTCAGCATCTTTTCCGTGAGTCCTGGCAAATCCCGGAATCCTCCCTCCGCTGATCTGAGCTCGCTTGCATTACATTAAGATTCTCACCTTCCTGAGATCCCCAAGATGAAAGAAAGGGTGAGCCACTGCCAGTCACCCCCGTCCATGCCCTCCCTGGGTCGGTAGCAGGGGCTGGACTCCGCGGGACCCCACTGTTGCGGCATCGTTGGCCTCTTTCTCCCTCACTCAGACGGGATCTACGCTCCTCCCTCAGCCCACCTGAGTCTTCTGGCCTCAGATCAAGGCCCACATCTGCCTGGGTCCCTGGGGCTGGAAGTGAGGGGTGACACATCAGGCTACCTCCACCTGGGGTTTCCCAGGGCTGAGGGGGGTGGGAGTTTGTGGGCCCCCACTGCTTTGGGTGGGTGTGCATCTACACCATCCCTCAGTGCCCTCACCCTGACGCACAGCAGGACTTGGACATCCTCTGTGTCTTGACTTGACGTCTATCCCCTCATACTAAGGCCCCCAACTCCCCGAGACCCGCTAGAAAGAAAATGTTCTTGTCTCTCTAGCTACAACTGTGTGTGGACTTGCAATGCTGACAGGCAGGAAGAGATTCTGTGGCCCTCACTATTGTGGTGTAGGTGGTCCCCTCAATTCTCAGGGTCCTCTCCTTGGTTCCTGGCATTACCTGGAGATCCTCCGGCTGCTCACCTGAGCCCATACTCCCATCAAGGAGGTTCCTCACCTCCCTGCCATGGTCCGGGAAAACCTGAGTGATACTCATCAGGTCACCTTGCCTGAGTCTCCCTCCCAGGTCTGAGAGTAGGGATGAGATTCTATGTGGTTCACTTCTTTCTGGGTGGGGCTCCCTCATGTTCACTCGGTGTCACCACCTTGACTCTTGTTAGGAACCAGGCTTCTTCCCTATGTTGAATGAGGCCTCTCTCATTAGACCCAAACCCTCACGTCCCTGAGACCACCCTTGGAGGAACTGAGAGGGCAATTCAGCCTGAGAGCTCTAAACCTGGCTTCCCAGGGCGAAGGCAGAGGTGGCACTTCGTGTGGTCTCCTCTGCTCTGGGGGAGTCGGCTGTCTCATTCCTCACATAGAATTTGTGCCTTGACATCGATCACGGCCTGGGACTCCTCTTCTTCTGCTGAACCGGGCAGCCAGCACTTGAACCAAGGCCCTCATCTCCCTCAGGCCCCACAGGCAGAAGTTAGGGGGCACCTGAGCCTGCCAGCTCTACCCTGGGCCTCGCGGGGCTAACGGCAGGGGCGCCATGAGATGCAGCTCTCTCCACTGCGTGTGGCCCTGGGCCTCCCGGGGCTAACGGCAGGGGCGCCATGAGATGCAGCTCTCTCCACTGCGTGTGGAGCAGAGTCTCCATTTCCACACTCAGGATCTTCACCTCGACTCTGCACCCTGCCTGGGACTTTGCCCTCTGCTGACGTGAGCCCATGACCGTCAGAAAAGGTCCTCATCTTCCTGGGACCTGAGCTTACAGTCAGAGTGAGCCTCATTCTGCCAAAGCTGATCTGGGGCTCGGCTACGCCTGGTAACAGCAAGGGTGGGACTCTCCGACCCCACCGTTCTGCAGTTGGTGGCTCCCTCAGTCCTCATTCAGGACTCTGGCGTCCAGTCCGGGTAGGGTTTGGGATTCCTCCCTCCACTGACCTGAATCTGCATGCCTCAGACCGCAGCTCTCACCTCCTTGAGTAGCTAGAAGAGAAGTCGGGGGCTCCACATCCCGGCTACCTTCTCTGGGGACTCCCAGGTCTGAGAGCAGGGCTGCTGACTTGTGCAGTTCCCTGTTTTCACGAGAGGTCTGCTTACTAACACTGATGGTCCTACCTCTGCTTCTTTTAGGGCCAAGTCTCCTCCCTAAGCTTAATGGGGCTGCCTTATCCATCCATCCACCCATCCACCCATCCATCCATCCATCCATCCATCCACCCATCCACCCATCCATCATCCATCCATCCATCCATCCATCCACCCCCCCATCCATCCATCCATCCACCCACCCACCCATCCATCCATCCATCCATCCACCCATCCATCCATCATCCATCCATCCACCCCCCCACCCATCCATCCATCCATCCACCCATCCATCCACCCACCCATCCACCCACCCATCCATCCATCCATCCATCCATCCACCCATCCATCCATCATCCATCCATCCATCCCCATCCGTCCATCCATCCATCATCCATCCACCCATCCACCCACCCATCCATCCATCCATCCATCCATCCATCCATCCATCATCCACCCATCCATCCATCCATCCATCCACCCATCCACCCATCCATCCATCCATCCACCCATCCATCCATCATCCATCCATCCATCCATCCATCCATCCATCCATCCATCCATCCATCCATCCATCCATCCATCCATCCATCCATCCATCCATCCACCCATCCATCCATCCATCCATCCATCCATCCATCCATCCATCCAACTACCTATTGTTTTACATTTCACACCCATTACGCATTTGTTTTGTAACTGGTCGTTTGTACCTCTTAATCGTCCTCACCTAATTTCTCTCCTACCCCCAACCACCTGTTTGTTCCCTGTAACTATAACTGTTTCTGTTCTGTTGTTTGTTCATTTGTTTTGTTTCTCAGCTTCCACATGTAAGTGAAATCATACAGTATTTGTTTTTCTCTGTCTGACTTATTTCACTTAGCGTACATGACACCCTCTAGGTCCACGCCCCCGCCCTCTCTTTTTGGCCGCACCATGTGGCATGTGGGATCTTTGTTCCCCCACCAGGGATCGAAGGTGCGCCCCCTGCAGTGGAAGCGAGGAGTCTTAACCACTGGACCGCCAGGGAAGTCCTGCCCCCTTTCCATAAAGGCCTTTCTCTACCCGAACGTCCCCTAGCCCCCAACCCCACTTCCCACCCCAGGCAGAAACGAGGGGTTCTCTCAGCCTGAATTACTCTAGAGCGTCGCACGAGTGAAGACGGGAGGGGGCCCCGTGCAGTCACGCCTTTCGGAAGGAGGGACCCTCGTCAGCTCTGAAGGTCCCACTTTTCACCTGCTGGGGACAAGACTGCACCCTCTGCCTAAGAAGCTGCCCCCTCTAGACAAAGGCCCTCCAGTCCCTGAGGCCCTCCAGACGGCAACTCCTCTGGCATATAGGTCAGGTCAGGGTCCCACGCTGCTGATGGCAGGCAGGGGAGGGAGGCGGGGGGGGGTCACCTTTGTTATGGGGGGAGGGGGGAGGGAAGGTCCCTTCAGGCTACATTCAGGTCCTCACCGTGGCTCCGGACGAGTCCTGAAAACCCACGCTCGGACGAACAAACGCCGCGGCTCCCGGTCGGGCTCCTCGCTTCCGAAGCGGAAGTGGGGGGAGCCGCATCCGGCGCTGCGTGGGGTCTCCGAGGGGTGACGGCAGGGGCGGGACTCTGCGGGGACGCCCACTGTTCAGGGCTCAGCGGTCCCTGCGTCCTGCCGGTGCCGTCTATCAGAGCCCGGGACCCCTCCCTCTATGGTCCCGGGTCCTCCAGCCTCCGAACCAAGCCCTCACCTCCCCAAGGCCCTAGTGGGGGGAAGTCAGGGCGCTGCTCCGACCATCTGTGCCTGACAAGACGGGCGCCACCCTGTGAGCCTCCCTCCTTGGGGGAGAGACCCCCTCATTAGCACTGAGGGTCCTCACCTTGACTCTGGTTATGGCCAAGACGTCCCCCTCTGCAGAACTGGAGTCCGATCCTGCTAGATGAGGCCCTTCCCTCCCTGTGATCACACGGGTGGAATGAGGGGATGTCTCAGCGGTAGCTCTTCTGGGTCTCCCAGGGCTAAGACCTGTACAGAATTCTATTTGGCCCCCTC